GGCTGCCATAAAGAAGAGGGAGTCAAGCTATTTTCCAAAGCGCCTGGAGGCAGGACAAGAAGCAACGGGTGGAAACTAATCAAGGAGAGAAGCAATCTAGAACTAAGGAGAAACTTCCTGACAGTGAGAACAATTAACCAGTGGAACAACCTGCCTCCAGAAGTGGTGAATGCTCCAACACTGGACGTTTTTAAGAAGAGACTGAAATGGTATAGGGTTTCCTGCCTGAGCAGGGGGTTGGACTAGATGACCTTCAAGGTCCCTTCCAACTTTACTATTATTATTATTATTATTGTACATTTTTTGGTGTTTTATAAGTCAATTTTCAGCTCCATACTCTTTGAAGCACTGTTTAACATTCTCTACAGCCAGGGGTGTCAAACTGCTGGCACGTGGGCCGGATGCATCATGCCGAAACCACGCCCACCCCATTGCTGGCAATGGAAAAAAAGTCGCAATACGTCGCGACACGTCACGTGACATTACGATTTGACACCCGTGCTCTACAGCCAGTGGTAATTCTCAGTCAAGTCCGTCATTAATATTTTTATCCTTTCCAGATTTGCAGATGTACATTTACTGTTCTTCTATAAAAATTTTCTTTCAGTTTCTACATCAATTTTATTAACCATATCCCTGAATTAACTTCACTCCTAATTTTCATTGACTTTTAACGTTTTGATTGTTTGTATTGTTCATTGCTTTCCTAGATATTACCCTTTTCTGTGCATACCCATTATATACAGTAATGCCTTTCATCATTCCACCAAGCATTCATTTTCATACTTCCTGCTGATATCCGTCCAGATACTACTACAGCACTCTGTGACATAATTCTTTTTATTCTCTTCCAAATACTCTCTTATGTTTAGTTACCATTCATTCTGTTGAGATTGTAATTTGTCTTGTAATGCTTTTCCTAAAGGATTTATGCTTTCTCTTCCTGAAGTTTTATGTTCACTAATTTTTCATTTTTCCCCTTTGCCACACTGTTTTTCCCCATGTTCAGTTCTTGACAATATTAGAATACTGTCTGTCATATTCAGAACATTTTATTAGGTATTCTTTATCTTAATAATGGAATCAATCTTTTTTTCTTGAACCACATTAAATCAGAGTTTTTCATATTTTTCCCAAAAACTGATGCCATCATTCACTGGAATGTAACTATGACTCATTTATGATTTTTAATAAAAATGATGCTACACTTCAATTGTTAGATGGCCTAGACATTGGCATTTGAACACAGATCTTTTTAACATTCATATTTTATTGTATTTTACTAATCTCGGTGAAATGGTGATATATATATATATATATATATATATATATATATATATATTGCTAGTCCATGTATGATATGCCACATGCTAAATAAATAAATAAATAAATAAATAAATAAATAAATATGAATTTACTTCTTCATATATACTCAGAACAATCTTGATGATAGAAATTCACACTTCAAAATATATTTTAGCCTTTTCATTCATAATTAAACCTATACCTACACTTCAGTGCATCTTATTCATCAATCCTTTCCTCCAAGATTAGACCTTCATTCAAATCTGTGTTTTTCTCCTTTCTTGCAGTTTCATGAACACACAACATATCTGCTTTTTTCTTCTTTTTTCCTTCATTAATTTTATTTACTTTACATTTACTTTTCTTACATTTTGAGTTGCAAAAAATATATAGTATAATACTAGGTCATCACCTATAGATGTCAAGCTCCAGTGCCCATCATGGCTTTGTTCAACCAAAGTGTAGACTAGATTACCAGCCATAGTCATTTCCATGCCATCTGCAGCACACGCTGATAATGATAAGATCAGGACTAATTAGGTTTTTCACATATTGCCTAATATGCTGTACATTTTTAAAAATTCTGGCTTTACCCCAAAATAAACTCATGTTATTTTATGCAAGCTAGGTTCTTAATTTAGAGACTATCTTGCAAGCCAACTTACTATTCTTTGCATCCCACCTATGAAGTACTGGGAGTATAACCAGAAGGTTTGGTTGGGATGCCCCATTTACAACTGTTGACTTATTTTTGTTACTATTTTAAAAGTATTAATTAACTTCTTTTCTGTTACAGAATGGTGAATTAATTTATGGCTGCAAAGATAATGAGGATTCTCTCTCTGATTTGAATGAACTTGCTTGCCATCTGAAGCCTTTCTTCTTTCCTTCAAATGGCCTGGTCAGTGGGCCTCATTGTACAAGGACAATTCTGAAAGAATTGATCCACGTAATAACAACAATTTTACTGAGTAATACAGACACCTGTAAAGCAGGTGATTTGAAGACAGTTCACACCTCACAAGGAAGAAGCTATTGTGAAGCCAGTGCTTTCAGTAAAGAGCTAGTGCGGAATGGTAAGAATTTTTTTGCCTTTTGCTGCAAGATATCTATATCATTCTGGCCTCTTCACATCCCAAAATATATCATTTAAAATTTGCTTTGTTTTCAGTTTTAATACAGAATTTACTTTGTATGCATTGGTTTATAATACGAAAAACTTCTGCTTTTTTAAAAAAAGGATCAACTAGCCATTCTAAGGATGGCTGAGGTACTTTCCAGAGAGAAGGAATTAAGCAGAAACCTACTAGTAACAGTTATCTCTGATTAACCTGGACTACTGATAAAAATATAATGGGAATAAACCTATTCCCTTTTTTTTTTTCAAAAGTGATGCTTTTTGTAGTTTGTATGGTGTGAAATAAGCTACCCATCCTCTTAGTGCTATCTATGATTAGATTTCCCTTCTATTTTTCTTTTTTACTACTACTGAGTTACACACTGAACATTGTGACATACGTCTGCAACATTAAGGAAATGCCATTGTTCAAGACATTAATGCATAGATCACTATAGAAAGCATAAAATGTATTTTAGGCATCTACTTTTCCAATCCAGAAACACTTAAATTATTGGTTTCTGTTAACCCAGAATATTTGTTTTACACTTAGTGCCACATTCATAATAAAATTATACTATAATATGAAAGAGATAATTCCATTATGTAAAATGTACTTTCATATACAGATTAGTTAAAGCAAATAGTCTGTTCTAGTTATTCCTTCTCCTGAATAATCAGAGAAAAATCGAGCACATACAAAATAATGAAATATTATTTTTCTAAAAACATTTCCCACAAATTCTGAACGAACTTAGACAACGTTTTACGATATGCTGTTTGGAATCATTTTCGTAGAACCTTCTCTTGTATAGGGAAAGAACAATGCAAATCTGATTTTACTGTTTCTCCTTTGGAAGATTTCTAGAGCAAGAAACTGAATTGCAGAGCTTCTTTTTCCCATTTTTGAAATCTGTGTTTATATAGTAGAAGGATCACACCTAGATTCTCTCCTACGTTTATGCCGCTTGTTGTTTTTGGTCAGAGAGATTGGTATATCCACTATTAAAACTGTTTGAAACTTATTCTTTTTAGCTAAAAACAAAGTAGAGACCTCTGGCTTGCCAAAGGGATGTCTCCTTTACAAAACACTTCAGGCTCAAATGCTGGATACACTGGATATAGAAGGGGTTTATCCTTTATACAACAGAGTCGAACAATACTTGGAAGAGTTTCCCAAAGAGAGGTAAGTCATACTCGGATTCAGATCAGCAAACTATTCGGGTCAGAGGAGACCTAAGTATGCATCATCTCTTAAAAACAATGGCTTTTTAACCCCTCTCAGTCTTAGAGTATGACTTTGGACTTGAAGAGTTAGTATGACCCTGTCAACTGACCCTAAACTGTACTATCCAACTATGTCTACAAATATACTATATCCAACGATAGTATGTCTGTTAAGTCTAAAATTTGTACCCTAAAACTGGGAAATTATTCAGTAGTTTGTCATAATAATGAGGATGTTTTTTCCATTAGCAAAGCAAAAAATGGAAATTGAAGTTTCTATCCCAATAGAAAAATAGCTTTTTTTCAGAAATATCTGAATCAATTGTTTAGATATAAATAAATTAGAAAATTTAATGTTTTGGGAGGGTGTCTTCCTTGCATTTTATTTAACAATTGTCAGAGAAACACTGCAAAGTGTTTATAATTCTAACTGATTTTAAGAATGAAGGTTTCTGCATTTTTCAAGAAAATTATGGCTATCTGGTTTCTTTCAGATGCAGTTTCTCGAAAATGAAACGTATTCTTGTTATGTATAAATATTTTATTTTTTACATGCTCAAATCATATAGGCAATATGCCTAAACTTTAAAGAAAATGGGAATGACAATAAATCTGGTGTAGGAAGAATATTTGTTTCCAGTCATCGTTGCCTTACCAAACCATATTGAGCAAACATCTTTCTACTTTTTAAAAAATTACATTTTTGTTTTTCTTGTTTATATGCTTTATTCAACTATTACATTAGACATAAATTTGGTGCAAATTCATTTATTTATTTAAAATAAGGCCATCCAACTCCCAGTGACACTGGTGGCATAAAAAATAAAAATGAAATAGCCTAAGTATACTGTTCAAGAATTTAGAACATCTTGGAGTAGAACTGTGGTACATATGGTACATGTAACTGCAGTACAGTGTATATAGAAAGTCTACATACCCCTGTTAAAATGCCAGGTTGTTGAGATGTAAAAAAATTAGACCAAGATAAATCACTTCAACATTTTTTCCACCTTTCATATAACTTATAAGCTGTGAAATTCAGTTTGAAAAATGAACTGAAATCTTATAGGGGGAAAAATAATATGGTAGTAAGATCTATCATGGTCTGATTTTTTTTTTGAAGCTTAAAAATTGGCATTTTAACAAAGATTTGTAGACTTTCTACTACACCATACATATTTGGCTTATAGTATTAATAGTAATGTGTTGTACACTTTTGGGGAACCAAAATAATTCATAAACTAAGGGGGAGGCATTGGTTAAGTAAGCTATAATATGGAGAAGAAATATATTAAGAAGAATATCTAATGGAGGGTTCTTCTTCCTTAAATAGCTCAATGCAAGCTGAGGCTATTCAGTGCACATGGAGCTTATCATTAAATGTGGGAAGTGGGGTGCCAAGGTGGTAAGAACCTTCAACTTTAAAAGTAGCATGCCAGGAACCTTTATTGAGGTCATTCAACACAACAAATAACTTTTTGCAGTCGTCATGTCACTGCAAAACCAAAGGCAAAAGATTTATTTTGGAGAGTTCTTATTTTGCAATGTTGCTTTCTTCACTGTCTTATGTAATTTTAGGCAGCGGTCACTAGAGGGGACAGTAGCCTCACTTGTCATGCACTTGAACTGTGGGATTTGTGAAATAGCAACTGCAATAATTTTTTTGCAGTTGTTTCATGGTACAGAAATCTGGTTTACTTTCAGTTCTGGGACTCTGCATTTCACTTTATTTATTTTTTGAATGCATTTCTTTATTTTTTAGGAACGTACTACAGATTGATGGGCCTTATAATGAATCATTCTATGAGAAGTTACTAGATCGCTCAAGTGAGGATGATGGAACTGTAGCGTATGCATTGACAAAGGTACCTACCTTATTTTGACATCTCATTTCTTGCTAAAGACACAGGAAGTTTAAAATGTAGCATAGTTAGTAACATATATTGTCCTTTGGAAAATAGAAAACAACACAGGATGCCTTGTTGAGCTATCATTCTCTATAAACACCAACACCAGTTATCCTCTTCAACAAAATGCTGTAGGATGAGGAAGAAATTAAAAGACCATCTAGGCATGTACTCTTGATTTTGTATTGTGTGTAATATTTTTATTTCCATTTCAATTTAATCCTGTCCTTGGGAAAGTTTTTACTATATTTACTTTCAAATATTGGGTACTGTTTTGAGAATATAAATATATCAAGTAAAATTGAGATAGAAATACATTTAATAACCTCTATTCACAAGAAGCAACATACTGAAACTTTTGAATTAAAGCCAGATTTTTTCTCCACCTAATTAGTTTTTCCTAACTGAATTTACATTGTAGTTCTCTTGTAAATCCTTAAATAGGGAAATAGCTACACACACACATATATCGGTATATGTACACATATTTGCGTGTGCATGCAACTGGATAGTGTAGTGGTTAGTGGCACCCTTTGATGTGGGAGACTGGAGTCCAAATCCCACCTGACATCTACCTTACCTGTCAGGGTCTTTGGGCAAAGACCGCCTAAAGCTTCACCTGTTTATCTCAAATATCAGAGTGACAAGAACTAGGAGAGTCATTTATGCCAACTCAGATGTCACCCAGATTAACAAGGTCTGCAGTATCAGAGTCTGAAGGAGGAACTAGAGAGGATGTGGAAAATAGACACCAAAGGGGTCCCAGTGATAGTAGAAGCCCTCCGGATTGTGACTCCTAAGTGGGGAGAGTGGCTCCAACAGATCCAATGGACGACTTCAGAGCTCTCTGTCTAGAAGAATGCAGTGCTAGGAACACCTAAAATACTACTCAAAACCCTCCAACACCCAAGTCTCTGGTAGATGATCTGAGATTGAGAAAGATACAAACCACCCATAAGGGTGAGAAGGGTTTTTTGTGATTAGATAGGTGATAGCTAGATGATTAGATAGATAGATAGATAGATAGATAGATAGATAGATAGATAGATAGATAGATAGATAGAGACAGACAGACAGACAGACAGACAGACAGACAGACAGAGATGTATGTATGTATGTATGTATGTATGTATGTATGTATGTATGTATGTATGTATGTATGTATGTATGTATGTTTTTCAGTTCTTGTTGCCTGGTAGATGACTATAGACTTGATTTTTGTTACAGGTTCAGCAGTATAGAGTTGCAATGACAGCAAAGGACTGTTCCATAATGATTGTGCTTTCACCTTGTCAACAAGATGAATGGTAATGTCTAAGATAAATATTCTATTTAAAAAAAACTCCCAATATTTATCTATATACAATTATCAATTCAGAAAGTGATGTATTAGCATACTGCCTATATTGATTGTAATCCTCTGTATTCTCCATACAGGAAAGGTAGAAAATAAGTAACGTGAGTGAGTGAGGATTATTTCTCATGTCCTTTCCTCCCTGCAATATAGCAAGATTCCTGCCTACCCTCTGGGTCTGAGCTGGCGTTAGAGTCCCCCAGGCTTATGGTTCTAGCATACTTCAGTCTGCCCTCTCTGATCCCAGGGTCAGAGGTAGTGCAGCACTTCACAGCCACCATGGCAGCTGTTGACCTGGACCAACTAATTCATGGCTCTACTCACACGGGGTCACAGGGATATTGGAATTTTGTGAGATTTAGCAATCTTTAGAATGATGGCCATGAAAAACTACATTAATTTTAGCACATAATAGAAGCCCTGGTTCCTGATGGCTGCCATATTTCAGTCATCTGATGTCTTAAGAGTTGCACAGTGGAAAGATGAACTTTCCTCAAAAACATTTTGTCTGATATCTGGGCAAAATGTGTGATTCTGCTCTGCAGCTTTTCAAGATGAAATATATAATTTTTGTATGCAATGTATAGTTTCACGTAAGGTCAGATGGTTCATTATCCAAACTGGGTAATGTCATCAATGCTAGTGATGATGTTACCTAGTTTGGGTAATCAGATGTCTTCAGGAAAACCATCAAGCTCAGAGAACACCAAAGACCCCCTCATTTCAACCCTGAGTTACAAATATTCTCCTTCATTGGCATACATTTATAGTCCATTGCATACATAGATGTACGTTTTTATACCTGTGTGTAATAATCTGAAGGAAATGAAGGAAATATAAAACTAGAAAAGTTTATTTGCATTTTCAACTTTGATTTAAACATAATTTACATTATTGAAAATTAAGATTATTTTTATATTTACTTCTAATGTTTCTATACTTCATATGAAGAGGTTCCAAGTGGTGTACTAAAAGAGCAACAGTAAAATAGTGCATATGCCATAAATATCTACAGCAGGAGTAGTCAACCTTGGCTCTTTTATGACTCGTGGACTTCAACTCCCAGAATTCCTGAGCCAGCACAGCTGGCTCAGGAATTCTGGGAGTTGAAGTCCACGAGTCATAAAAGAGCCAAGGTTGACTACCCCTGATCTACAGTAAGCATTCGTAAGAATTGAGCCATTTGTCTGTCAGAGTCAATAAAAGGAAAACCAATCAGCCTCTAAGAGCCTTCTGAAACAGGCAAGCTTTATCAAGCTTTCTGAAGGCCATGAGAGTGGGAGTCCCCTTTTTCTTAAGAGGGAAAGAGACCCCGCTGTGAGTACTTGCTTTCATGCCCCTTCCTATTGAGCTGCACAGTTAAGTAGGGACTTCATTTGGACAACATCTGTCTGGAAAAAAGAAGTCCCCCGGTTTTGAGCCGTTTACTGCTTTATACTTGGAACATACCAGTAGCCAATATAGCTCTCATAGCAGAGGTGTTATATTGCATACATGAGAAATGCTTGGTTTTTCAATCTACTTTGTATTATTGCTACTCCTGTAAATTTTAAAGTCCAGATATTCAAAACATGGGAAGTACCTCTGGAATTGGTGTTAGCAGCCAAGTTGCTTTCTGGGAGTGTAATTATTAATTGTATGTTTTCAAACTGCTAAATTTTGGAAGCACACATGAGAAGGAAAATTGGCGTATGTCCTGTCCTGTATAACAGTAGCAGAGATAGTGTCTTTACTTTCCAAAGAACCTTAGCAACAGTCAATTCCAACATGAGAAATTCCAAGATATAATTTCAGTAATAGATGTAAAGCTATATACCTGCATATGTTCCTGTGTTCATGAATGTCTAGGTCTTTATTCAGGTTTAGAATATAGATGCATTTATTAGAGAATGGGAATAACTTCATTTTTCCTAGGTTGTCAGTGACAAAATAAGCTATGTGAAAATTGCTACTTTAAGATAAGCTTATGGTTAACCTCTCAGTGTAATTTATTGACAAAGCAGTACTGATGGTATAATCATTTAGGAAAGTTTGAAATAAAAAAGTGGTAGGAAAAGTTTCAAACAACTTTTTGCACCACATTTCCTACTGGAAAAGCTATATTTTACTTAAGACCACAAGTACTTTTAAAATGCAACATCAGCTATAGCTTGTCATCATTAGGATGCAGATAGAGTTTTCATATATGAGGATAACAGTAAAAGTCAGATCCCTCTCTGGAATATCAAATAGTAATTATTATTATTTAAATTTCAGCTCTGAGCAGAGGCCAGTGGTTGTAACATCAAAATCCAGATTCACCTTTTCAGTTTCTGTCCTGGATTTAGACCTGAAGCCATATGAAAGCATTCGTCATCAACATAAGCTTGATGGGAAGATAGTGAATTGTTATCTGAAAAGGACACAAGCCAAAGATGACTCAGTAATGTCAAATCTCTTAAAAGAAAATGAAGATTGCACACTAGTCCTCCATAAAATGTAACTGGCTAAATATTTAACACAGAGGAAAATTAAGTTATGTTGTTTTTCTATTATTTTCAGTTGTGCTTTCAATTTATCTGACTTTCAGAAACACACAACCCCCCCTCCCCGATTGCCTTGAAGAATGCATTTATTGTAAGAGAGCCATGTACTATTAGTTTGAATGAAATGACTATTCTGACTGTAGAAGAGAATTTGATTGTTCAAATGCAGAAAACCAGTATCCTTATTAAAATTCTAGATGCAGCTATAACTATATGTGAATTGCTGAGTATCACTTGTTTAAAATAAATAAGGTGATCTGATCAAATTCCAAAATTCTTGATTAGAAATAATTCTAGATTCTTAACGCTTCTTAGACTGCTCCTTGCATATGTATTGTCTCTTATGTTCAAAGTGATCTTGTGTAGTTGTTCTCCGAATTGTTCAAAACCTATTAAAAAATTTTAATGTATAAAGAAAAATCCCCCTTTCTTGAATAATGATAAAAATAATGAAAGCAAATTACCTCCCTTATTAAACAAGGTTTTAGAAATTATATAATGTAAACAGTTACTATTACAATTAGCCATTTTCAGCAATTCTTTGCTGCATATGCCTCATTAAATATTTTGATGCCTCAATATCCTTTTCAGTTTTCTAAGCCATTCCGAGGCTTCAATGGGTAACAATTGAGAAGTTCAAAATATTGCCTTGAATTTTCTCTGGTAATAATTTTTATTTTTCTGTCTGCATTTTTGCTTAGCTTCTCTTTAGACCTTCAACAGCAGCCATTTGCTTTTCTAGGGCATACAAGTTCAGTAGCAATTGGATTTTTTATCCTGAGCTCAACATTATTGAGGTATTAAATGTTCTCAGCAAAAGGAGATCTTTCTCTCTCTCTGCAGGGGCTGTTAGGGGTTTTGGGGGTTTTTTTTTTTTAACCACATCTTGCACACAAAAATAGAAAATAGTGAAATATGCCTTAGGTTTTGCAATGGAAGGCCTAGTCCAGGGGTAGGCAACCTTGGCTCTTTTATGACTCGTGGACTTCAACTCCCAGAATTCCTGAGCCAGCTTGGCTGGCTCAGGAATTCTGGGAGTTGAAGTCCACGAGTCATAAAAGAGCCAAGGTTGCCTATCCCTGGCCTAGTCTTTCCCTGATGTGCTGCATAGTGGCAATTACATATCATTTCTAATGCAGACTGTGTAATTAAGACCTCTGAATTCAGAATTTTGGGATATAGGTAACTACTTGTAGGTCATTTTAAAACAGAAAGAGAAATTCTAGATTGTCTAATGGTAAAAGTTAAATGTTAACATAAGTAGACAAAGGATTCTTACATGCTGTGAAAAACTTGAAACCAAAGCTGCTTCAGCTATTGAAAAATCGCTGGATTAGAGCCAAAGGTGTCTTGCACCAGAGAAAGCTGTACATCACCGGCTCTCTGAATTGTGTTAATGATGCAAATTCCTGTAGATGTGATTTTGGTGGGCTTGGCAGTAGGCAAGAAGAGTCTTTCTCCTGTCCCTGCGTTCCTTTATGTAAGAACAAGTTCTGCCTTTTCAGTTTCTGTCCTGGATTTAGACCTGAATTGCTTCTTTGACACCTACCACTTTTTACAGCCTAGACTTTATTGGCACAACTTATCTTTTGACTGTCATGTATCATCACTAAAATATTTATGTCTGAAAGTATCCCTAAAGATCTCTAATGATATTTTTGTGTGGATTCCAATTCGTTTGCTATTATGATATTAAGTTTAATGTTAATATTTATGAGTATCTCTCACGGGTTCTGCTCCTAGATTTATTAATTAAAAAACAACAACAACCCTGTATTTTGTGATATTTATTCAACTTAATTCTAATATCTTGTCCTCCTGAGCTTATGGGCTGCAAGTCAGTGGATGTCAGATAAGGGCATCTTTCTGGAATGTGATTTGAATCCAATAAATTAGTAATGCAGAATTAAATGAACACAACTTTTAAACTTATTGGTAATTGTGAATATTGCTAAAGTTGTTCAAAAATATTTTATTGAAATATTCACCTTATAATACAAAGCATTTTCCAGAAAAGCTACCATTCTTAAAGCAAATTAGTAGTAACTAGTAATATATGACACAAACAGCTGTGCAGCAATGGGCATTTCATTTGGATAAGTATCACCTGCAATATGCAATCAGCAATCGATCAAACTCTACATACATCTAGAAAATGCATATGGGGCAAAATAAGCTAAAAACCTTGCATAGTGCTGTTTTGCTCACTGTTTTGTGGCATTCCATGTGTGAATCCAAAACTTGCCTCCAGAAAACAAAATTTGTAATCTTGAATAGAAATTCTAGTTTTGGCAAACTTAAGATAGAATCATTTTGTGTTGGGCTGATAGCTGCTAAGTTTAATTAAAGCTGCATTGGCAGGTATAAAATGAGTATAAAATTAACCAAGCTTTTTAACTTAGATTGTTATATCTTACTGTCTATAACTAGGAAAGCATGGGATGCAAATATTGCTTAAAATGCTCAATTTGAAGCTTTGTATTTGAAAACTGATATAAACTTTGCTTTTTCTAAAAAAAAAACCTATTACAGCACTTTAAAAGAACGGTGAAAACTTTACATAGCTACTTATCTGTTTGGGTCACATTAAAAAAAATGGATCCTAGGAAATCTAAATATGGAAAAAATACTGGAATATTTAGGCAAGTTATATGCAGATCAATGCCATTATTTTTGCCCATTCTGTACTTATTCTTCATGAAGCATGTGGTTAATAAATTGCAGCTTATGCTTTGTAAATTAAAAAGTCTCATTTTTATTTTATGAGTATGATAAACCTGATTTGCCTTCAATCACTGTTTATGGAAGAAGAAGTAGGTATGCTACTGTATGATGTTTCTGTAGCTTAATTTTAATTACTATCAAACTGTTCTGTATCATTCTAGAATCACTGTTACATATATACAGCTGTGAACTGAAACTGCCACTTTTTTTAGACTTGAATTTATCAGGCTGATCTGAGGAGATTTTAGGAACTGATGTAGAGGGGAAAAACCACTTTGATTCAGAAAGTTAATTTTTTAATGAAATGCATTCTACTCGTATCTGATTTGATGTTTTGTATTTAAAAAGCTGTATTTATTTGTCATGACAATTTATATATATATATGTGCCATAATTGTACAGATAGCATGTTTTATGGGTATGGTTTCTAAATGAAAAATAACTTAATGTTTATATTCAATAAAATGATAGATGCGTAACTGGTTTTCCTGGCACTCATTAGTCTTCGGAAATTAAATTGATCAGAGTTTCAATGGAGGCCTCTATCCCAAACATATGCAAGAAACTTCTGAAACCTTGGGGAGCATGTGATGCAAATTTGTCAGCTAGAGCACCTATAAGAGGAGATGAAATAGAGAGTTAAAACTTATTTCAAATACAAATAGTCGAGCCCTGTTTTTTTAAACCACTGCTTTCTTCCTTGTCAGCAATTGGTCTCAGAAATTATGTTGGAAAAGCCTAATTGCTACCCAGGTCTTAATGGATGCAGAGCTATTTGTCTATTGAGATTCTCATCCAGGTCACAGTTGTCCCAAATGTGCTTTTTGAAAAGGCAATTTGAACTTTTCACTTCTCATCCAAGAAAAATAAAGGTTACTCTTTTGAATACAGCAAAGTCCACAGTCTGGACAGAGAGGACCACTAGTTTGAAAGAGGGGTCAAAGAGGCCATCCGTGTTAAAATTGAGCAGCCCTCTCTCAATAGAGGGCAAGGGATCTGACACCCCCTATCTCCTGTTTACAACACAGTCCTTTCAACAGTTCCAAGAAGATTCCACAACCATTTGGAGGTTGTTCAGGTGATCCTGAGGGATTAGATAAACCAAGTGGCCCCAATGAGTTTCAGAGAGAGTGCTAATGATCAGATGACTGCAAGGAATATAAAATCTTCAATTTCCCCCTCCCTACCATTCAGTCAGAACTGAAGAAGCTTTGTGGATGAGAAGCAAAAGATCTTCAAGGAAAAACAAAATCCAGTTGCCTTTTGGAAAGCACCTTTGGGACATGCAGAGCTATACTTCTATTTAACTGTCTCATGAAAATTGCCTCCTCTGGGCTGACAAGAATGAAAATGTTCAACCCACTGGGACTATTTGATCTCTTTTTGTATTTTCTTTCTCCCAAAAGAAGAGACTGTTGAGTGGCAGTCAATAATGCAAGCATAGAAGATTGTCAAAATAAAAACAAAATTGAAAGAGATGATTGTGACAAAAGTTTACCTTGTAGTGGTATTTTGTTCAAAACATCCAAGAATGGTATAATGTTTCCTTTTTCATCTACCTGCATCTTCCAAACAATCATTAATTCAAATCTATAAAAGTCAGAAAACAACAATTAAAACAAAGTGCATAAAGAGAGAGAGGGACATACTCTCATCAATAAAGTGAAGAAACTTAGCTGTATCAAGGACTTTTATTTTAAATATTCTCATCTCATGCAAAGGCAATTTGGAACTCGGTAGTACAAAATATAGTGATTCGAATTCCTGGGCTTGGTATGGTTTTCTGGTGGATGAAAACCCGAAAACTGTTGAAAATGCACAGTTCCTCAGATTTGGTGCAGCCATATTGGCTTTTTCTGATTTCCCTTGTTTTTTCCCCTAACAAAGTTGTATCTAACAGGTAACTGGAAAGAAGTTGTGTGAAGGAGATTGGGATCTGCATCTGTGTCAGTACAAAAACTATGGCTACTCAACAGAATTGGACCAAATTTGAGGATGGGGTGGGGTGGGGGTGGGGAGAAAAGTCAGCAAAAGGAAGAACAAATTTTAAAAAATGGGCCCCATGACGCTAGGAGCTCTGGAGAAAAATATTTTTTCCCAATTTGTTCTATGAGAGAGGCAGAGGTTCAGAATGTTGCCATCCAAGTCCCCCTTGTCATATGACCAGAGGAGCAGGAAAGCTACTCTGTCTTATCCTGTATTTCCTAATGCTCACATAGATACAACATAGGCACTTGGGGAAATAAAACAAATCTACAAGCTATGCTGTGCATCCTTTCCCTACCTTGTTTTCTTATTTGGATTGCGTCATTTTGCTTTAGGTTCATAGTTTTTTAGAACGCCCAACTATCATGAGCTCCTTTACCCATTCACTTTTCTTGCCATGGAATAATTTCTTTCGTTTATTAAAATAAACTGCTGATTGTATTTATTGTTTTTGTGATTGTTTTTACTATTTTAATGTTTTTAATTGTTTTATAATTTTAGAACAATAAGCTGTCCAGAGTCACTTGTTTGAGTCAGGATGATATAGAAATTGAATAAATATAAATAAAGAATACTTTTTTAAAATCCAAGATATAATCTTTCCTTATGAATGATACCAAATCAAGGACAGCTGCTACTCTTATTGCATTCTTTCATGCTTTAAAGGAGAAATCAGGAATTTCTGGGAGGGCTTGGGAAAAATTGTCTCTTTACAGGAGCTGTAATAAAGCCCATTATGGCTTTTCAATATTTTAAGCTATACTATAGTTGATTAATATGAGGTCTGATATGTGCTTTTTATGGCTTGTAAGAGAACCTGGTTCTCAGCAAGGTTTACAATTATTCTTGCTTTCCCTTAAGTACATTGCTTTAATATCCTTAGGGTCTTTGAATGAGATAGGGTTTAAAGTGTGCACATATGTAAAGTGTGCAACATATGTGTACATTTTAAATCCAAGAATACACTAAGGCAGAAGCTTGCCTACCCCAAAGATAAAACATCCAGACACAAACTAAGCAATGTGGTATATGAAGCACAATGCAGTGAGCCATGTGCAGATTTGTACATTGGGGAAACAAAACAATCACTTCATAAACACATGGCACAACATAGGAGAACAAACCCATTGGGACAAGATTCAGCAGTCCATCTGCATTTAAAAGACAAAAGCCACTCTTTTGAAGACAGCAAAGCCTACATTTTGGGCAAAGAGGACAACTGGTTTGAAAGAAGGGTCAAAGAGACTATCTATGTCAAGACTGAACAGCCCTCTCTCAACAGAGGGGGAGGAATATGTCATCATCTATCTCCACTCTACCACACAGTTCTTTCAGCAGTTCCAAGAAGGCTCCACACCCATTTGCACCACTCAGGTGACCCTGAGGACACAGGTAAACCTCCAAGTGGTCTCAATGACTCTTCAAAAGTATGCAAATAACTAGCTCTTTGCAAGGAATATAAATCCTTCCATTCCCCACCATCCAGTCAGAGCTGAAGAAGCTTCTTGGATGAGAAGCAAAACATATTCAAAGAAAAACAAGAAAGTCCAGTTGCCTCTTGAAAAAAAAGAAGAAAAACAACAACTTTAGAACACAGCTTCTATAGATACCTGCCCTCACAAATCAATATGAATCAATTAAGTTGCCTTACTTGGAAAGTTGAGTGCTTCTTAAGAGCATGTAATCTCCATGTATTCCTTCCGGAAGTACAACAATATCTGGATACTTATTCTATTAAAATAATAAAAAAAATGGTATATTCTATACGAATATAAATTGGATACTACAAAAATTGCAACTTTTATAAGACGTGCAGTTAATTAGTATGTACAATAAAGCTGATGAAATTTAACCTCTTAAGTAACAACTTTTATTGCATTGACAGCCCTATCATGATTGTGTCAAAGTACGTATTAAGATTTTTGATTTATTTTTATAGCAATATTGGAACAATGATTCATCTCAGAATAACTGAAACAGGCCGATAACTTTGTCACTTGACGTCTGATCATACTGGCTAGGGGAGCTGGTTGTAGACATACAGATAAGATTTTATTGCTGTTTCAAAAGGGATATAATCTACCTGTACTTATAATCACTCACTTTCCAGTTATCGATTGACTGATTATGTACCTTCAAATAATTGACTCTTGATGACCACATAGATAGATCTTCTCCATGACACATTCCAGTTAACATTCTAATAAAGTTAATAGGATATGTTTTGGTTGGTGGACACATCTGTAATTTTAAAAGCATAGAGTAGGCACTCTCACAAAAAAAGGCCATAGATAGACTGGTGGATTCATCAAATAGCTGGAATCATTTCCCAAAATAACCCCTTTATAGAAACCCAACACTTCTAGTCCCCAAGATATGCTCTGAAGTTTACTATTTTTGTTATTATGAAAGGGGTACATATCTCTACATGAAGTGTGGAATTCTGGTGATCTCTGAGCTTGCACACATTTCATTACTGAACTAAATAATATCATCAGTACTGCCTGTTTATAGGCAGTAGCTTGCCCTGCTAGTTTTGGTGGGAGTGTAATTTCTACCTTGATGGTTCCTTGATTAGACTATTATTTTCTGACTGATTGAATTATTGTGTGCAGCAAGGCATACAGGCCTCTGATATAGAATAATTATATATTATATGCATAATGTCATTTATAATTACAGTAGCCTGGATGAATACTTTCACTTAATTTAGAGTCAGGTTAAATTGAAGAGTATTTTGAGCTCAATTTAAAAAACAGAACCAGGAATATTCCAATAGTGCTTAAAATATGTTGCCTAACGTGAGTATCAAAGTATTAAAAAAAATCAACAATTTTTTCTAAAGTAAGGAAATTCAATCAGCTTGGGCGATTGCAACAAAGTAGCAATTAAAGGGAAAGCAACAGATTCCTTCTGCTCTTAAGATAGGTTAAGAAATAGCATGTTACAGACACCATATTTATTCTTGGTGTAGTTGAGGAAATGGAAAGTATGTTTAACTAGGCCAAAATGTTATATCATTCGAAAATTCATTATTTTTCCAGAGACTGTAGAAAGCTAAGAATTTAAATAGATGTTCCTCAGATTTTAGAAACATTGCCATGTCTGGAATTGGTTTTTGCCAAGCCTCACATAAGCAGTCACCCATGGTACATGCCAAAGTTAGCTTGCTGGGAGCAAATATAAATCCATTTTGGTTTCTTCTTGTCATCCAAAACATTTTTCCTTGCGTATGTCTTTTTTTTCTTCATGCAATTTATATAATGTAAACATAGTTAATGAGCTAATTGCATAGCCCAGAGTTTTAAATACTTTCTTTAATTTCCAGATGCATGAAATGTTTGCAACTTGTAGACTACAACAAACAAACAGTTCAGAAAAAAACAGTGCAACAAAGGTTAATATAATAGTCAGGTGCTAAAGGTAATCAAGATAATTCACAGGGGTGGTGATATTGGAAAGTTTGCAACCTTATTAATGTCATACAGGTCAAAGAAGAACATTGAAAAGCTTATGGTTGCAACTAGTAATCTTCTAACCATAATATTCAACTTATATTCAATTTTATAAACAGTAAAATGAAACTGCCCATAGAAATAAAACTTTCATAGCAGTCAAAATAACTGGGTGTGGCTAATAAAGCTGAGTCCCCAAGTTCCGCTTGTCTCTTCACAAATGAAAACAGGCTAAGATCCATTTCGGCCTATTATTCCCAATAGTTTGCTTGGTTCGTGTATTTCTCAAGTATAGAAAAATAACTAATTAGATCACAACACATCTAAGTGGGGATAAATGATGAATGCCTACAATGACCACTCTAAAAATGTGAGAAGCCTAATGGGCACTTCAAATAAGAACCATTTACTGTAACTAATAGGGTTGCTATGCGTTGTTTACAGTGCAAATACTACTACAATAGTGNTTATGTGATCGCTATCAAGTTGGTTGGGGTTTTTTGTGTTCTTTCATTTGGTGAGCTTGTAAAATATAATAAAATTAAAGTAATGGTGCAAAGAGTTGACTGGTCGCCCAGAAAGCGATGTAAAATAGTATTATTAAGTGAACAAGGCTACAGTTATAAAGAAATTAGAAGAAAAATTGGTGGAAACTTAACCAAAGATGGCATTTCTAAGTTTTTGAAGAGGTATAAGGAGATTTAGTCACTACAAAACCTCACTGGTAAAGGCAGGGAAAAGTGCACAACAACAAGTGATGATAGAAGAATTAAGACACTGTGCCTACGTGACAGGAAAGAATCATCTGGGTGTATACAAGATGAAATGGCAAATGCAATGTGAAGTTGAGTGCAAGAACTGTTCGGCGCAGACTGCAGGAATTTGGCCTAAAATCTAGAATTCCATGAAAAAAGCCATTTCTCTCTCTCAAACAAAGGTTACTAAACTTGGCTAAAACCCATGTTACCTGGACAGAGGAACAATGGGACAGTGTTATTTGGAGTGATGAGACCAAGATCTCCCTGTTTGGTAGTGATGGCATAAAATACGTAAGGAGAAGATTTGCATCCTGATTGCATTACATCTACCGTGAAACACCCAGTCAGTGTTATGATCTGGAGTTGTATGACATCAAAAGGTGTGGGCAGAATTTGTGTGATTAATGGGAATATAAATGGCCCAAAACACATTAATGAAATACTTGAGCCCAAACTGAAGCCTTCCACACATGATCTTTTCCAAGACAATGAAGCATTTATATTTCAACAGGATTCAGCTCCATGTCATGTTGCTGCTGTGTGCAAAAAGTGGTTTCAAGATAATCATATTCCACTGCTGGAATGGCCTGGGAATAGTCCAGACCTTAACCCAATTGAAAATCTATGAAGCCGACTAAAGAAACTTGTTAGTCAGAAGTGACCCAGCAATAAAACCCAGTTAATAGAAGCAATCATTCAATCTTGGTTTCACATTATAACAGCTGCAGAACTAAAGGACTTGGTTCACTCCATGGGAAGACGTTGTAAGGCCATAATTCATGCTAAAGGTTACCCAACTAAGTATTAATTGACATGGTGATAATTTTTGTATATTTTGTTTTTTCTACGTGTTTCACTTTTCTTCTTTATAACTACTATTCTAATAGCAAATCCTTCATAAAAGTTATTGCATTACATTCTTGATTAAATTATCTTTCCATTGTTATATAATTTTATGGTACTACTCCCAAAAAAAGTGGTGTTATTAGCCACCAAACCTCAAATGTACACTTTTCCCAAAAGGTTCCCACAATTTTGGCCACTACTGTAGCTTCATATTTAGAAACACGTTTCTTAACTTGCTGGACTTGAATTCTCATGTGCTAGGAATTATGAGTATTGACATTTAATACATCTGGAAGCCACAGGTTTGAGTGTCTGCATTACAGATTAGAATCAAAGCAAAGATGTTTGAAATTTGATTGCATAAACTCTATACCACAATTTTCTGTTTCACATGTACCGACAAATGGAGCTACTGAATCAGCAAGAGAGAGGAGGAAAAACAGCGGAACTGAAATGTGTATGAGTCTTGATGCTGGAAAAAGTGACGGTTTAAGTCTTAAACCTTAAAGGTTTTTAAATGAAAGTCAGCTGAACAAAGAATGTAAATTAAAAAACAGGGATGCTGCAGCTGAACTGCAATTAACATGGTCAGCAATTTTTCATAAAATAGACTGAAATATTATTTACTATACCAGCACATGGAAAATATTAATGCAGAATCTCTACCACCACCTCCAACACTTTCATAGGCTAGAAAAAGAAATAGATTCAGTCTTTTTAGTGCCAATGAAGGGAAGGCCTTCTGGAACACGGTGTGTTGAGTGCTTTTTCCTTGGCTTTCAAACCCAGTGTTAGTCATAGATTAACTTAATAGCCTATGGCAGTGGTGTCCACAGGAAGAATCAGAAAAGCCAAAATGGCACCTATCACCAAAGCCCGGTCTTTTAATATGCATCACATGCTATGTCACACATAAAAATGGGTAAGGATTCAACTATGCAGTTGGCTTTTGTGTTGTCCCTCCCTAGGCAGATGTCCCTGCCTCATAGAGAGAGAGATAAGAAAGCCTAGAAACTAAAGTCAGGCAGGGCCAGGACTTTCTCAGCCTTTCCAATAACAATCTGTAATAGAACAGATGTGAGCCTTATTGAATAATCTATAGGTAGTCTTGGACGTACGACTGTAATTGAGCTGGAATTATGGTTGTAAGACATGTCAGTTATTAAGCAGGTCATTATATGGCTGATTCAATTTTAGGACATTCTTTTCTGGCAGTTATTTAAGAGAATTACCATGGCCATTAAATGAATCCACACCATTAAACAAAAATTGCAGTTGTTCAGTGAACCCAGAATTCTTAAGTAGCTGGAGCTTTCCAGCAAAAAAAATCATAAATCATAGTCATGTGACTGCAGGATACAACAAACGGCTGTTAGTACAGGGTGCTAAACAGCCAAAATGCAACCATATGACTATAGGGAGGATGTTTTTTTTGGGGGGGGGCAGCCATTGGAACTTTCTGGAATCCAGGTTAAGTACCTTTTTTGGGTCCAAGATAATGTTGAGGAGTCGCTAAGAAACTGGTTGTCAGTCAAAGTCTATCTATCCATCTCTTCTTTTTCTCATTCATAAATTAAGGGTTAAAACTAATTTAGTCACTAAACAGAAATATTTTTGGTTTTAAGGGATTATAAAAGAAAAATGTAACATTCAGCCAAATAGGGGTGCAATC